CAATTCACAATACTGAACACGGCCTTTAAGCCCGAACAGTGAACTTTGGTCCCCATGGCGCTGGTGTTGATGATGGCAGCAGATGAGTGTCCGTCTCCCAGAATGGTCACGCTTGGTAGGCGCTCCGCTAACTGTTTCCTGCGCGAACTCAGCAAACTCAGCTGGGACTCGAGGCGGGCGTTCGAGTTGCTGTTTACACGGAAGTCCAGGGCGCAGTCGAGGGAGTCTTCTCGAACAGCCTGGTATCGAGTTAAGGCATCCATCGTCTCTCGGTTATTATTACCCGGCTAGATTAATAGGCACACTCCGGACCCGCGAACAGGAAGCAGTTAATTATCGGTAATGAGATGATTGCTTTACAATCTGTGGTAGTTCTGTTGTATTCATGATGATATAGGAATTATATTTTTATGACTAAACCTTTTTCTCTTTATTTTTCTGTTTTACTAAGAAACAAAAACTATCAAATTTATGGAAAGTGCCATACAGAAAATATTCATAACCGTACTTATTGCCGTAATCGTAATCATACAACGTTTCCGTATTCATAGCTCTATAGTCATAATTTTAAGAATAATAGCACGCGCTGCTATCCGCCAGCCCTCTGCCGCCGCAGTGGAGTACTGTGGTCTGCTGGAGGGGGTAACTGTAGTACTGGTCCTGTTCGGCGCTGGGGGCGTCGCGCTGCCCTACATTGTCCGAAGATCCTGCGTCAGGACGTTCTTTAAGTTTCCTCCCTGCGGACTTAAAACCGTTACCTGCTACAGGATACGATTATGTCGGTCAGGCTGAAGGACACTAAAGCTGCCGTGAAGAGTTAAATAGCTACTAATGCGCTCGGAAGGCCCCATTCTCGAGCTTTCATCAGTTCGAGCATCTTCACTTGAGCGTCGCCGTGTGTCGTCTCCCACGATTCCTTGATCAAACAGCGAACCTTTCAGCCTTAACCTCATTCGAAGCGACTTTCAAAATCCATTAACACAACTATCATGAAACATTAACATGAAACTGCATATCGCCGTTGTTCTATTTCTGTTTGTAGTCAGGCTACCCTACTTCCGCAACCCTCAAGCTAGCCTTTCTGGCCGATGCACAGGGGGGTACACGGGGCCGTTACTCCTGCATCAGGGGCGGCGTTGCGGAGAGAAGCTGTAGCGTCTTGTTAAGCAGTAGGGCATCTGGACGCCTTCGCTAGTTATACATATGCTGATGTAAAGCGAGCGGAACTGCGGATTCTCTACGCACGCACAGAAATCATTATAAATATACGGTATGCACTGCTGTATATGCTTCTCCTTCCACTATTCTTCGTCATAGTTATGGCGTCTCTCGGTGTTGATGTAACTCCGGGGGTTTTAAAAGACCATTTGCAGATACACATGAATGGAGTTCGCCACAGTTAATAGGAACATTAAACATTTTTTGTCACGAGGTGACAAGGAAAAACTTCGAGGAATGACAAGAATCTTTTCTTGACAGAGAAAAGCTGGGGCCTTTATTTATTCACTTACTCGTAGTCATCTCCATCATTGATTTTTTTGCCCATAACAATAAACTCTCTAGCCAGGTGGAATCCGCCATTGCCTGAGGATAAAAGGAATAGAGAAAAAGTGAGATGGAGATGACAAAGGTCAGTCATGGACCGCAGTCTGAAGAATGCCAAGTTCTCCGACCCTCTGTCACGGCTGTGGAGATCAATTATAGATTCTGCTGCTGTTCGGGATCTCGGGTGAACGAAGACTCACGCTCGCCGATTTTCCTTTGTCACACCTTCAGTCCTTCCCACATAAATGACATGGAATTATGATCAGGATGACTGTGGTATCTAAAACAAGAACTATAATGACGGTAGTGACTGAGATCACGATTAAATTAAGATACATTGTAGTATTACTGTCAGCTTCAGTAGTAGTAGCGTATCAGTGATGAGAATGGCGTATATTAACTTCAATTCCAAATGAAAAAATTGATAACTAAGACTCAAACTTATCTCTGAAGTAGGCAAACGAGTGACAAGAGGCATTCCCAAAGTCACCATTATCTTTACAAATCGCTACAGCTATAACAGTCTCTTTATAGACCGCGGAATAATTATATACACTCTCATTGTCATCATCGTTATTGTCATCATCGTCATCGTCATCATCGTCGAATAAGATACAGCGCGCGGAGTTCTAGAATTTCGGATTTGGTAATGATGACGTCACAGGTGTATGTAGTGACAGCACCAGCCGTTTATAAATGATTAATGGGCTTTGCGGTCAGAGCAGCGCCAATGATAAAAATGAGTGGCAGTCGCTGTTTTCCAGATGTATTGTGTGTGTGTGTGTTGCGTGATGCTGGAATGCCTGTCCGAAGGTTGATGAATGGACTGGGAGGAATGGTAATGAGTGACTGGCGGCGGTTTCATAAATCAGGTATTAATCTGTCGAAGAGGAAGTTAGGAAGCCTCGATGAGGGAGAGAGAGACAGAGACAGACAGACAGACAGACAGATAGGCAGAGAAACAGAGGGAGAGAGAAAGAGAGCGAAAGAGAGAGAGAGAGAGCGAAAGGGGGAGAGAGAGAGAGAGAGAGAGAGAGAGAGAGAGAGAGAGAGAGAATGACAGAAACAGACAAACACACACGCAGGCAGACAGGCAGACCGACATACACAAAAAAACAAATGAAGACAAAGACAGAAAGAGAGAGAGAGGCAAATACCGACAGACAGGCAACCAGGCAGCAGACAGGTAGAGGAGTACAGCATCTTTCATCCTCTTCACCCTCTCCAGACCACCCCCCTCCCTCCCTCTCCCCTGCCTGTGTTTAAAGGACCTTTGGCCACGTAACGGCGCTCGTGCCTTGTAGTGATGGAGCTCGCTATATCCTCTCTCTCTCGCTCTCTCTCTCTCTCGCTCTCTCTCGCTCTCTCTCGCTCTCTCTCTCTCTCTCTCTCTCTCTCTCTCTCTCTCTCTCTCTCTCTCTCTCTCTCTCGTCTCTCTCTCTCTCTCTCGCTCTCTCTCGCTCTCTCTCGCTCTCTCTCGCTCTCTCGCTCTCTCTCTCTCTCTCTCTCTCTCTCTCTCTCTCTCTCTCTCTCTCTCTCTCTCTCTCTCTCTCTCTCTCTCTCTCTCTCTCTCTCTCTCTCTCTCTCTCTCTCGTCTCTCTCGCTCTCTCTCGCTCTCTCTCTCTCTCTCTCTCTCTCTCTCTCTCTCTCTCTCTCTCTCTCTCTCTCTCTCTCTCTCTCTCTCTCTCTCTCTCTCTCTCTCTCCTCTCTCTCTCTCTCTCTCTCTCTCTCTCTCTCGCTCTCTCTCTCTCTCTCTCTCTCTCTCTCTCTCTCTCTCTCTCTCTCTCTCTCTCTCTCTCTCTATTCACTCATATGTTTATGGGTTTATTTGTGTCCTTATTAGAATATAACATATATCCCTATCATCATATTTTCTGTGTCTATCTATATTCTTGTTAATCTAGCACCCTATCAGTTATGACTGAAAAACACACACACACACACACACACACACACACACACACACACACACACACACACACACACACACACACACACACACACACACACACACACACATACACACATATACATATATTCATACATACATGCATATAGACATACATATATACATACATATGTACATACATGCATAAATACACACACACACACACTCACACACACACACACACACACACACACACACACACACACACACACACATATAGATAGATAGATAGATAGATAGATAGATAGATAGATAGATAAATAGATAGATATAGATATATATGTTCATACAGAAGATAGACGTCAGACATACATGTAAACATACATACATACTTACTTACTTACGTATTTACAAACATACATACACTACATACATGCATATGTGTCCCATCCCGCATCCACTAATAGTGAAGAGATAGTTGATAGCAGTTATATACATATAGTGTTTATGTGTGTATATATTCTTCTCACTTAATAAGTATGTAAAAACGTCTGATAGACAATAAGTCAGCTTTATTGTCCTATCACTTGCTTGATCTTTTAGTAGCAGGAAATGCTATTATAAATGTTATCAATTTCTTTACTCTAGTATCTTTTTTATCTTTGCATTTGTATTTTGCCGTTGTGTTTCTCCTGTGGTATGTAAATTTGATTTCTAAAATCTATAGCTATTTGAGGCGTAGTCGTAGAAAATATTGTTGCATTAGCTTGGCAAAAAAGAAAAAAAAACAGGACTAACAACTGCTATCAATACATCCTATATCTGTTGTAAAACACCGTTGCCTAAAACCCACACCCCCGCTACCATTCTCTACATATTTATGATGTATTTATGCCAACACTCTGCATGACAAACCAAACACAACAGAACCGCAAACCATGAGGAATCCACTGCATGACGGTAAATATGCAGGAGGACCTGTGTGTCCACGGCCTGCCATTCATCGGCCCCATGCCATGGCCGCTTCGTCTCGTAGCTTCGGGTAACGGGATGTGAATGACGGAGCAGCCTGGCGGACTAGAGCTGCGCCTGGCTTGCAGGTGTCCCTTGGCGATGACAGCGCCAATAGCGGGTCTGTGCAATAATAAAGATCATACACTGATTGGCAAAAAAATGAGTAAGCATATCGCATATGACTGCTGAATCTAGTGCAGGCTGTACCAAGAGTATAATGCCACGCCTTAAAATGAAATGCAAAATATCTTTATCCTTTTAAGATACTCCAAAGTAGTTTGTTTTTTTGATTGGATATTTTCTGGACGCCTTTTATTATTCTTTCCTCAATACAAGGAATTCTAGGTGTAAGCATTTAGCTATTATCGTGTAGAAAATACGAAAGGAGAGTATCTCACCGATCTCTTGATTTTGTCTCCAAGAGCTCCCGCACAGTTAGTTTTCACATCCGAAAACCGCAGGCATTTATGACTCAAGCAACGAAGTTACCTTTATAATAATAGAAAAAAGATTGTTTCCTGGACCATCTACTAATACTTTTTTTTTCTTTCAGCGTTGGCTTGATGGTGTTGACTGAGAAAGATACCCGCAGCATCGATACTGTCAGCGAGGTCTGGCGAGCTGTCACCGCCTGGGAGAACCTCCAGTGTGACGTCATGTTCCCCAAGTGAGTTTTTGCTCTTTTTATGAGTGCGATCGTGTTCCATATTTTCACTGCTGAATGTGATGTCGCTTTCACTAGGTTGGATTTTATCATAGTCTTCATGTTTCCCTCATGCTTAACTGTAACGTGAATGTGTTGAGCACTGTATGTAAATTATATAAACATTCGTAATCTTCGTATGCTTATTACATTACTCTTACAACTTATGTTTTACCTGACCCTGTTGCTTCGAAGCGCGTCAGTAACCGCCGTTCCTCCCGCAGGTGTGACGGCCCCAAAGCCCTGGAGATCGTGAACGAGGTGGCCGTCGGCTCCGGTAAATAAGAAGCCCGACGCGCCTCTCCAAGCTCCTCCCCACCTCCTCCTCCATACCTCCGTCCTCCTCCTGGTAGCGAGGAGTCCTTACCAGGGGATGGGCCAAGAAGTAATAGATAATCCTCCGACAGAAATAGTCTCAGGGGAGGGCCATTTTACCGTGTTTGTTAAGGTGTGTGCGTGTGTTTGTGTCTGCTGCGCGTGTCCGGCTCCCCATGTCTCTTGAGAACACCCACCTACGGGAACCACCTGCGGGAAGCAGATCTCGCCGACGAAACCCGGTGCATCGAAGGATCCGCGAGACTGTCATGGACTTTCGTGGGAAAGCAATTTTGGCTGATTTTATTTTTTTTAAGGCCAGCGATTATTGGTACTTACATACACAGCTTATCTCCTCGCCTGGCCCAGGTGTTGGTTTATAATAGACTAAGCTCGAAGTATTATTGCTTCTATACGGAGTTCATTTTTTTTCTTTTGGTTAAATATGCATGAGAAAAAAAAGTGTGTACCTGATGCAGTGATCGAGAATGTAATAATCACATGTAAAATTCTTCACTGGATGTAAGGAGAATAATAATCTCACAGTCACTTGTAAAATAAAACAAACAAAAAAAAAGATTACAGAAAGAAATGTAAAAATAGTGACCGGGGAGGGTAAAATGCACATGTAAATAGTATTCCAGGTGTTCGCATGACGTAAAAAGCTTTGGCCGTCTTCCATGCACTAACCGTTCCTGTGGCGGCGACTGTTCAAGGGACCCTGACCCCACATCACGGCGGCCAGTGTACAAATGGGCGTGTGTGAGATTCTCCCAGTGCTCCTTGTTATACATTTATTATTTATTCTTGTTACCCCCGTGTGGATTTAACTTATTGTTATTAGTTATTTATTCCTGTTGATATTTATTAGTAGTTGTCTCCGAGGCCTGTTCTTCCTCGGTATTGTGGAACAATAAATGATTTTATGTATGTGGACTTTATTTATAAAAAAAAAAAATCAACCCATCTCTCACTTTAAAAGAACGGAAACAACGCATTGACAAGAAACTCATAGAGATAATCACCACAGCTAAGTTAATTATTTATGAAAATGAGTGAAACAATGATGGAAATGAAATGGAGACGGACGCACGTAAGTTCTGTATACATCAACATCATTAATACAAACATAAGCAGATCTCAACTCAATCATACATCAACATATATGTGTACAATACGTACTCACAAAAAATAAATACAAAGAAACACATAAATATTCACACACGTAACCATACAGACAGAGAGTGTGTGTGAGAGAGAGAGGGAGACATACGTGCATACACAGAGACACAAACAGACATCTAGAGATGGGAGGGAAGGAGTGGGAGGCAGGGGGAGTGGGGGGTGGGAGGTGGGAGGGAGGGAGGGAGGGAGGGAGGGAGGGAGGGAGAGAGAGAGAGAAGCAGAGAAACAAAGAAACAGACAGAGAAACAGAGAAACAGACAGACAGACAGACAGACAGACAGACAGACAGA